CCAGGCCCAACCAGGATCTTGCTAGTTCATCAGCCAAGGACCCATGGCAGGTTGGACAATCTAGGCTCGAACGCAGAGTCTCCAGCCTCTCCCAAGGCCAACCTGACTTTTTTAGGCTGCCACGGCTGCTGCCTGGTACTTACGTGAATTGTCATGCAGCCTCTTGGGCAGAAATGACAGTCCGTGTTCTCTAGGGGACATCCCAAGGGCTCACAGAGATGCTCTTTGATCCAGGAACACCGGGCTTGTGAGCAGGTCTACCAGGACTGACTGTTGCGCCCTCCACTGGTCCCAGCCACACAGGTTCCCCAAGGAAGGCATCTGCATCTGTTTTGTCTTCTACCACTCTCTGACCCCAGCCTCGGGAAGGAAGCTGTCCCTGAGACAGTTTGGACACAAGCAAGCTGTGGTGGCAGTGGGAGTGTTGTCCTTGTGGCCTGGAAGACAAGAGCTCTGTGATTGGGGTCACCTCTTGGTACTCAGGGACAGAGTCCTGGGAAGCAGACAGAGCCACACTGCCTGCTGAGGACTCCTGAAGCCTCTCCGTACTGTCGCTGAGGAGACCTTCAGGTTTGAACCTGTACTAGATGCTCTTGTCTGTCTGTCTGTCTCTGTGTCTCTCCCTCTCCCTCTCCACCTCCCTCCTTTTCCCTATACATTGGTGATCAGGACAAGAAAGGAGAGTGCTGGAGACTAGAGTGTCAGAAACTTACTCTGGGCGGTGACATTTCTCACTGGAAACTCAGCCTCCTAGGATACCCGTTTCCTGCCCGGCCGGCCCTCCGGCAGGTCTTGGGCCCATGAGAGATGCAGGGTGTATATGTATACCTCCTGGGCCTCCAGCCAGCATGATGACCAGGTGAGATGGTGGCAGTGCTGTCTCCTGTCTCACCACATACAGGGCTTTGAGGAGAGAGCCTGACTACCTGGGGGCTGCCGAAACCAGCCCGATTTGTTCAGGACAGAGGCCTACATCTTGCATCAGACTGAGTAGAGTTTGCATGGCATCCCCAGGCGATTCATCCACAGCTCTCCACTGCGCAGCAAGGCAGCCTCTGCCCAGAGCCACACAGAACAGGTTCTCTTTGGGGCCCTGGGCTGAGTAGGCATAGCTGGAGGGTGGCACAGAGCTTCTGAAAGCCCACCTGGAACCTGTGAGGGTCATGTCATTGCCAGTGAGAGCTTCCCTTCGCTTCGTAACTTAAGAATCAGAACATTGCTGGCTCAGAAGGGTTCCTGTGTGATGTGTTCTCCCTTCCTGAGAGGAGGGATACAGGCTGGGGGAAGGGGGGCAGAGGCCTCTCTACCTCCCAGAACGGCTTTCAGTCCTAAAGTGTTTGGGGTGGTAGCTGCTGACCCAGCACTTCCTCACCCTTCCCTGGGGGCCTGGCCTGCAGGGGGAGGAGGGCAGGGGGAGGGGACAGACATGGGCCGGTCCCATCCTGTTCACTTTTCTTATTGCTGTCTTTCTATTACTTTAATTTGAGGGGAAGCTGAAGTTATAATTAAAATTTCCATTTGCCTTAGGCAAACAATTGTGGGTTGAATGAAAAGGTGTTAATGAAGGGAGAAGTTAATTTTGAAAGAAAATGTAGAGTGAGTGTGTGGGCATACACCTGTGGACACAGAGCTAGTTACAGAGCTGGGAGGCAGATGGGGCTCCAGACTCGGCGAGGCCAAGCCTGGCTTCAGATCTTAGCAGCGCCCTTTGTAAGCTGGCCAGCTTCAGCAGCCACCTGCCTCCTTTGAACCTCATCTTAGAGAGGCAGGAATGGGCATCGGTGCCCTGCTCACCTCACGGCACTGACTGGGCTGCGAGAGATGGGCAGAGCACGTGGGGACAGGTGAGGGCTGGGGACGTAAGCTCTGCTGTAGAAGCGGGTGGGGTGTGAGGGATGTTTCCACCCTGTGACTGAGGTAGTCCCCTTGAGGCCACTTTTCCCATCCTGTCAGGAGTGTCACAGTGCTGCTGTGGGGTGCCGGGTGAGCACCTGTGTGCTGTGGGTCTGTTCAGTGAGGCAGGACACCCAGATTCCCCGGTAAGGCCCGTCTAGAAAGGGTGAAAGGTCAGGTGCACCTCGAGCCTGTAAGTGGACAAGCCGATGGTGCCATCCCTGGCAGTTTGTCACACGCTCGCCTTGCGTGCCTTGTCTGTCAGGTGGACTCTGCAGGTCTTCATAGTGGGGAATGGCACAGAGTACTCGTGCTGCTCCCTTGAGGGATGGGCCACCTCCTCCCTTACCCCCTTGGGTGCCCTTGTGCTAAGCAGTATCTCCTGTGGGGGTGGCAGTGTTCACGTGGAATGTTGCATTAGGAGAGGCACGGGGCACCATCGCGTCCCTAGAGAGTGACTCACCTCCTTGTCACACCCACACTGAAAACCAGTGAAGTGTAAAGGTATCAGTGATAAAGGAAACTCAGTGTGTGGCAGCCACAAGCAGCCAGGGCTCTGCCCATCTTACCAACAGGTACTCTGGCAAGCTACTCTTTGAACTCTCATTTTCCAGTCAGTAAAATGGGGATAAAGACAGCCATCCTGACATGTTGTCCCCAAACTAAAGCAGGACAACACCAGTTCTCACTGGCCTCTGGTATTCTGTGGTTGCTCTGTGCATGGGTTTGCACTGTTTGGGGTGAGCCTTGTGTGTGCTGAGAGAAGAGTTTGGTGAGTTAGGAGTCATGTGTGATAGATTAGTAATTCGTAGGTGGGAAAGACCCTAGGATGACTTTAATTGTTCATCCCTTGATCTCTGCCAATGGGATTGCCTGGTGCTGATTTTGTTGGGCCATCTGTGTGTTCAGCTGAGTTGGCACAGGTAAAAAACCAAGTTTTTTAAATCACCTTCTCTTTTTAGCCCCAAGGTCTCCTCAGGGCATAGGCTCAGCCTGCCTCTAACTGGCTTCCTCTGTGTCTTGGAACCTTTCCTTGTGGACATTTTTTGAGGATTTCATGGCTATGCTTCTGACCCCATGGCAGCCCTGAGATTATGAGGGAAGCATTTTTTTTTATTAGAGTTCTCAGTCAGCCCTAGACACAGAGCATACCATAGGATAGGTATTAGAGCCATGGAGAGTGCCTGCCTCCTCGAAAGCCGGGAATGGTTTCCTGAGGCTATTCCTTGAATTAAGGTAAATAAACTAAGCCTGAACTCTTGTGTGAGACGATGTCAGCAAGGGGTACATCAATAGCATATAAGGTGTAGTCCCAGCATTGGATTGACCATCTCAGGTCTAAAAGTGAGAGATCCTGACTGGTGTTGTGTGACAGACATCTCCTGTCTACACTCTAGATAGGGTGCCCATGACAGACTAAAGTACGGATATAGATACCAACAAACTCCATCTAGTGAACCAATGAGTTTTATTGGGGTTACTGAGGGGAATATCACCAAAAGTCCACCTCACAAAAGCTGGGAACCTGGAGCACTCTACACAGCCTGAGGCAGCTCAGTAGGTTGGAGAGTGCCCTTTCCAGGAGCCTTAGTTGGCCTAAGCCGCTTCCAGGCAGCTCCACCATCTCTATTTCAGACTGCTTGACTGGTTTCTACTTGTTTGATCTTGGCTTGTCTGGGAGTGATGCTGTCTTAGGAGGGAGGGGCCTAGGGAATCTGGTCAGTTTCAGGGAGTTCCTGAAACTGTTTTGAGTTGTTTACTTCCTGGCTTAAAGAGGTTACCTGGGAGATGGAGTGTTTCGATTTTGAGGAAACTGCTATACAACTTCTGGCAACATGGCTTTTGGTGAAAAAATAAATAGCAGCAATTATTACTATTATTTTCTTTCTTGTGAGACAGGATATCACTGAATAGTCCTGTCTGGCCTAGAACTCACTATGTAAATTGTGCTAACTTCAAACTTGCGGCAATCCTTCTTCTGCCTTTTCTCCATGAGAGTGGGAGTGCCTGCTGTGTGCCACAGGCAAGCAGGAAATATTCAGTGGACACAAAGGTCCTATAAGAGGGTACGTTGCCATTCTTTTGTTTTTTTGAGACAGGGCCTCACTGTAAGTGTTGGAGCTGGGGGGGGGGGGGGGAGTGGGGTTTCCCCAATGGAAGTATTGCAGATCTGAAGGGAAAGGTATCCTGGCAGTTGGGAGCCAAGGATACCACAAGGTCACACTGCACAACAAACCTCACACAAGAGATTTATTGAAAAAGACACAAGAGGGTGGCTGCCTCTGCTCGGGGGGAAGCAGCAGAGAAGTAAGTGGGAGGCAGGCAGGCAGACTTACATATTAAGGGTTTCTTAGGGGTGGAATTTTCTAGGGTGGGGATTGGTGGGATTTCAAGTGCTGAGCTTAGGGCGAGCTCAGGGGTTATAGGTTTTTGAACTCAGGGATTGGTAGGTTTTCAAACTCAGAAGTGAGCTCAGACTTTTTACCCTACATTCACTGTTGTAGCCCTGGCTGTCCTGGAACTCACTATGTAGAGCAGGCTGACCTCAAACTCACAGAGATCATCAGTTCTTCTTCCTCCCGAGTGCTGGGATCGAAGGCAGGCACCACCAGGCCTGGCCCATGACCACTCTTGACTTACAGAAGAGGGTGCTGAGATTCTACAGCTGTGCGGAGTCTTGGAGGGTGCACCTAGCTGTGCATCATCTTGCCTCAGGTTCCTCCTGTGAGCTCAGGGTTGTGCCTGACGGCTGACCAGGGTAGGCGGGCCCATCCACCCACAGTGCACATCACCAGGAAGCCTTCACAGAGGCATGTGGCCTCCTGTACAAGACTGACAAGTGTTCCAACATAGCTACTGGTCCTCAAAGAGTAGTTGGCCTGGCTGTGGCCCTTTTATAATGGATGGGTCTGCCTGGAAGGCAGGCCCCTTACTGGGCTCTCATGTGTGAGCTACCATGAGAGGCCCCCACGGCTAACCAGACATCCTCATATCTAGAGTCTACTTAGCCATCCTGAGCCTCAGTCCCTGCGGACGTCACTGTAGACTGATGAGTACTGAGTTCCAGGGAGCTGACATCACTCTTTCTGTCCTTCTGTCTTTGCCAGGGCAGTGACATCTCTAGCTCTACCTTTGCTGATGGCGAACTCCTCCCCAGGGAACCCAGCTTCTTCCAGGAAGACGAGGAGGAAGCGATGACACTGGCCCTGCCCGAGGGACCCCAGGAATTAGAAATGGACAGCCCCATGGAGAGCAGCCAGGGCCTGGAGGGCTCTGTCAGGAGTCCTGGCGAGGAGAAGGAGCCTGAGCTGGGGGGCCTGTGCCTGCCAGAGGACAGGTGAGTGAGCAGAAGGGCGTGTGGCCCCAAGGCCAGAAGTACAGACACTACATGTGACACCTTGTGGGTTAATTTCCCCAGGTTTCGGGACCGTAGGGATGGTTCCATAATTTCAGGCCGCTGTGCAGAAGTCAGCTTTCTTTGGCGGGGCCAGGGAGATGGTGACAGGGCCCTAAACTCACAGAAATATGCCTGTCTCTGTCTCCTGGAATTAAAGGCCTGCACTACCATGTGTGACTTTCAGAACTCTATTTCTAATGGCTGCTCAGTGATGTGGGGAATACAACTCATTTAGTTTTAAAAAGCAGGTACAGAGCCAAGCATGTAGTTTATCATATGATTCCAGCACTGTTTTTGTTTTTTATTGTTGCTGTTTTTAAAAAGCTCATTACAAAGATGTCTTAGGAAATGCCTGGGAAAATGGTCTTAGAAATTGAGCAGTGATGGTTTCTGGGAGGTAGGAGGTTTATCATTTAAGTCACTGCCATAGTCTGTGTTTCATTGTTGATACTAGGCTCTCATCAGAAGTGTTTTTAAAACAGCAGTAAGGGCTGAGTGGACTGGGCTGTCTTTAACTCATTGGCATCACCAAAGCCTTGGCTTCAACTCCCAGCACTGGGGCGAGGAGACAGTGAATATTTGCCTACCGTCTCGGCAGAGCAGCAGTGCCCAATGTTCAGTTTGGTGTCAGCAGAAGGAGTATCTTTGAGAGGGGCAAGGGGAGGGGCAAGGGGAGAAGGGGGGGCAAGCTGAACTACATGAAACTGCCAACTGTTTTGATTTGGTTTTTCAAGACAGGGTTTCCCTGTGCAGCACTGGCTGTCCTGGATCTCACTCAAGAGATCCTCCTGCCTCTGTCTCCTGAGTGCTGGAATTAAAGGTGTGCACTGCCACTGCTGGGCAAATTGCCAACTTTTAATCATCTCAAACTTCATAAAGAAGTTAACTTCCGTAATTGAGCCACCTGTGCTTTTCTCAGTCCCAAGATCCTTGTGCTTGAATGGTTTTCAGAGTCAGGATGCCATCAAGGGGCCCTTTGGAGTGGGCTATCTATATAGGGTCCTGGACCAGCTGACACAAGAACAGAGGTTCATGGGTCACAGATTTGGTAGCCATCAATTGCCATTGGGTTGTCCCTTTGTTTCCTGTGACTAATCACCAGGGCTGGGGACCAAGAGTTTGTGTTTTGTTTTTAATCTTTAAAGTTATTTGTTTATTTTTAGATGTATGTTTTTATTTTTTTAAGACGGGGTTTCTCTGTAGCCCTGGCTGTTCAAGAACTCACTGTGTAGGCCAGGCTGGGCCTCCAAGGATCTGTCTGCCTCTGTCTCCCAAGAGCTGGGATTAAAGGTGTGTACCACGACCACACCTGCTTTGTTTTTAGATTTTTGTATGTATGAGTGTTTTGCCTGAATGTATATGTGTGCACCACACGTGTGCCTGTTGCCCACAGGTGGCAAAAGAGGGAAGGTGTCAGATTCTCTGGAAATAGAGTTACAGATGGTTGTAAGCTGCCAAACCTGAGTCCTCTGTAAGATTGACTCTCTCTCTCTCTCTCTCTCTCTCTCTCTCTCTCTCTCTCTCTCTCTCTCTCTCTCTCTCTCTCTCTCTCTCTCGTGTGTGTGTGTCCATCTATCGGTGTGTGTTGGATAGATAAAGGCCTGGGAGAGCGTTTGTAGGGACATTTCCTAATGCTGAGGCCTGAATTCATTCCTCTTATAAGTAATGTGTTCTCTTAACTGCTAAGCGTCTCCCCAGCCCTGGTGCAGTTTTACCAGCATTTGTAGGGAAAAGGGAGGTTGTGAGCTGTTCAGCCTGAAATACAGAGGACCCCGAGGGGAGACAAAGTGTGAATACATAAAATGCAGGTCAGCTATCAGAGGACTTAATCCTAGTGCTGTGATCCTTAAGCAGAAGCTGGGGTTCCCTGGGGCTGTGGTTTGAGAACTAATCTGTTCTCCCCACCTTGGATCCGTTTCCCATAATGAGTGTGTACTCCTTGAGCTTGGGGAATCAAAATCTGTGGATGAGGAGAGAGTTTACTGTGACTGGGAAGATGAACTCAGGCAGGCTGTGAAATGAGTCTCTCTTTGCTCTCAGGTTGAAGATGACTCCAACCAGGCCTCCATACTCAGGAGAGGTCCAAGAGCAGTGGCTCTCAACCTGTAGGTCACGACCCCTGGGTTGTCAAATGACCCTTTCATGGGGGTCATATATCAAATACCCTACATATCAGATATTTACATTATAATTCATAATGGTAGCAAAATTACATTTATGAAGTAGTAATGAAAATAATATTATAGTTGGGGGTTACCACAACATGAGGAACTGTATTAAAGGGTCTCAGCGTTAGGAAGGTTGAGAATCACTGCCCTGAAGTCTGGGATCTTTGACAGATACTCTTTAGAATTAGGCATCTTTGGACTAGAAATGCCCCTTATATACTGGGAAATGATTCTCACCTGGTAGCTCATGCTTACTTGTCATGATAAAAGAAAATGAAAGGGCTGGAGAGATGGGTCAGAGGTTAAGAGCACTGACTGCTCTTCCAGAGGTCCTGAGTTCAATTCTCAGCAACCACATGGTGGCTCACAACCATCTACAATTCAGTCTGATGCCCTCTTCTGGCATGTAGGCAGAACACTGTATATGTAATAACTAACTAACTAAATAAATAAATCTTTAAAAAAAAAAAAGCCAATGAGGGCCAGAGAGCTGACTCAGTGGGTAGAGGTGGCCTGAGTACAGAGTTCATGTACAAAGCTGAATGAGGCAGTGAGCGTCTGTAACCCAGCACTCCTACAGAGACGGGAGCATTGAGCAGGGCAGGTGGCCTGGAGGATGCAGTGGAATCAACAAAGCAGAAACTTTGCTGTCCCCTCCACACATGGGCTGCTGCACTGGCATGCTTGTGTGCACACACACACTGATAGTAATAATAAAGTTTTTAAATTAAGAGATAATTAAAAGTTGGAACAAGGTGAGAATGGGGGAAAATAACAAGCATCCTTACCCTCAGTCCTATTTGCTACGATTTGTATTTTCTTCCTCCCTCCCTCCCTCCCTTTCTTTTCCCTCAAGACAGGGTTTCTCTGTGTAGCCCTGCCTGTCCTGGAACTAGCTCTGTAGACCAGGCTGTCCTCGAACTCACAGAGATCCACCTGCCTCTGCCTCCCAAGTGCTGGGATTAAAAGCATGTGACTGTACTGCTTATCCTTTTTTTTTTTTTTTTTGTTAACACCATGGTTGGTCTGGAATATGCTATGTAGACCAAGCTGGTCTTAAATTTCCAAAGACCTACTTGCCTCTGTCTCCTGAGTGCTAGGATTAAAGGCTTGCACCATCACTGCCAACATAGTAAGACCTGTCTCAAAATAAGTGAGTTTATTAATTACTAAGTCTCAAAGTTTATATCTAACTTATCATTGATTCTTATTTCTCTGCCTTCTTGCCAATATTTGTATAAACCTTTCAACAGTCATTTGATCCTCTATAATTTAATAATTTGAATCAGTGGTACATATTCTAATTCAGTAACTATAATTATAGTGTAATTTTAATTTATCTGTTGCTTAACCATCAAGTAATAACCAGTGTTTTGTTGTTTCTTACGGCGGAAATTTCTATGTGGGATGTTCCACTTAGGATGAGGTCCCTAAATTCAAAAGGTCTAGACTTGGCCAGGCTCCTGCTATTCACAGGGCTAAGCTGGTCTCTGCCCCCACCAGGAGCTGCAGGTCGGGCCCTCAGCCCTTCACTAACTGGGTGCTTATGGCCCTCAGGTCCCTCGTCCTCACTCCATCCATGACCACATCAGACCTTTCCACTCACTCCACCGCCTCTCTCATCAGCAATGAGGAGCAATTTGAAGACTATGGAGAGGGGGATGATGTGGACTGTGCCCCCAGCAGCCCCTGCCCTGATGATGAGACCAGAACCAACGTCTACTCAGATCTCGGATCTTCAGTGTCTTCCAGGTGGCCCTCTTGCTCTGGATTGGCATTTGGTGTCCAGGGAAAATGGCAGAACCAGGCTAGCCTCATCCCAATGGGTCAGACAGGCAAAGAAAATCCTTCCCTCTGTCCAGGGCTACATGGCTCTACTGGCATATGGGATGCCCCCTTCTAGCTGATTGGGAGTCAGGTTTGTCCTTCCCCCTGTTATCTTGGAGAAGAAATAGTTAACTGATCTGTGAGTCTGCAGACCCCTCGAGGGTTCCTATGTCATCATGCTTCCTAGAACCTCTGTACTAAAGGGCCCTTCCAAGTGATCTTCTACAGCCTTTTCTCACCTGCCTGAGTCATTCTGTCCTGTGATACCAGCTCTCAGTATGCCTTATGTGTTAATTGGGTTCATTTCCCCAGCTTTCCCTGACAACCACAGGGAAGGGATGTTCTGACTTACCTCCCTTTCTCTATCCCAAAGTACAAATAAAAGCCCTGGGGAATTAGGTAGAGGAAGCTAAGCAGAGTGGGCAGGGCACAGCTTGCCAGTAGCCTCGAGTGACACCCTCTCCTCTGGTCCAGTGCGGGGCAGACCCCAAGGAAGATGCGGCACGCCTACAACAGTGAGCTACTGGATGTGTATTGCTCTCAGTGCTGCAAGAAGATCAACCTGCTGAATGACCTGGAAGCCCGGCTGAAAAACCTCAAGGCCAACAGGTGAGGCCACAGTCCAGAGAATATGCCCTGTGGATGGGGCCAGGCGGGGTTAGCAAGGCAAGCCCCCTGTGTGGGCAGGTATGTGGGTGTTTCCTGCAGCACCTTGGCACCAAGCTGATGAATGATGTCCCTTCATATCCAGTGCCCCTCTGTTCAGTGACTATGTCCCCTCCCCTTCTCTCTCTAGCCCCAACCGGAAGATCTCGAGCACAGCTTTCGGACGGTAAGAGCCTCTTGGAAGACAACGAACTGAATGCTTTTCAGTCTGCCGTTCTGGGGTTGGGGCTCCGTGGCGGTAGCCCAGATTCGGCCTGTGCCCTGTGTGTAGCCAAGCAAGCAGACAGCTGTGAAGCCGTCCCCAGCTGGGTGGCAGAGCACCAAGGACAGAGCAGATCCTTTCCTGCCCTTGCCACCTTGTCCCACTTAGCAGGGCCAGCATCTGTAGATCCTCACTGCTTTAGCTTTAGTGGGCTTTCTGGGGTCCCCTGAGGACCATAGTCCAGCCCATGACTGTTGGCGCCTTCTCTTCCATGAAGGACTGGGCTCGGGGAGTGCCCTGTCCAGTTGTTAGAGTAGAGAGTCACTTGGGTGGGAAGGTCAGGTGGAGTGTTTCTCCTGTGACCTCACCTAGCCCATAGCCTGAGTTGGGGCCCCAGCTTGTGGCAGACTTGGCAGGCAGGTGTCCTCCATCCCCGCAGGCAGCTCATGCACAACAGTAACTTCAGCAGCAGTAACGGCAGCACTGAGGACCTGTTCCGTGACAGCATTGACTCCTGTGACAATGACATCACAGAGAAGGTGGGCCTGGGATCCTATGCATGCCACTGGGATGTATGGGAGTGGTGCTCCAGGCAGCTCTCTGGGGAGTTGGACTGTGTGCCCACCTAGGAGATCAGGGTGGGGAAGGGCACTGGTCATATGCCCCTTCCTCTCCAAATATGTCTGCTCTTTTATGCGTAGTTATTTGGAGCTTTTCTAGATTCTCAGTTCTGTGCTTCCAAAGCCTTTTCTACTCTGTTTCACCGTGCATGCTACAGGTGAGCTTCCTGGAAAAAAAGGTAACAGAGTTGGAGAATGACAGCCTGACCAGTGGGGACCTGAAGAGCAAGCTGAAGCAGGAGAATACGCAGCTGGTGCACAGGTCAGGTGCGGGGTGGCTCCGGGGAAGGCGAAGTGTCCCCACTGCCAGCGGAGAAGCCCTGATTCCAGGCCTGATAGTACTGCTCCAAGTGTACAGCCCAGGGCTCATGTCTCTCGCTGCTTAGAGCAAGTGGCTCTCAACCTGTAGGTCTCGACCTTCGGGTTGCATATCAGATACCCTGCAATCAGATATTTATATTATGATTCATGACAGTGGCAAAATTACATTTTTGAAGTAGCAACGAAAATAATCTTATGGTTGTGGGTCTCCACAGCATGAGGACTGTATTAAAGCATCACAGCATTAAGAAGGTTGAGAACCAGGCCGGGCGGTGGTGGCGCACGCTTTTAATCCCAGCACTCAGGAGGCAGAGGCAGGCGGATCTCTGTGAGTTCGAGACCAGCCTGGTCTACAGAGGGAGTTCCAGGACAGCCTCCAAAACAATACAGAGAAACCCTGTCTCAAAAAACAACAACAACAAAAAGAAGGTTGAGAAGCGTTGGACTAGAGTGACTAGAACACGACCTCCTTCCTGGGAATATGCCCTGTGGATGGGAGTGGAAGGGAGGAGGCCCAGGTGGCACAGATATGGTCAAGTGGTGGTATGGATAGACAGCAGGGACACCAGAAAGGATGTATCCCATGATGGCCAGCTTCCCCAGGTGCAAGAAACTTGGTAGACTGCTCTGGGTCTGGTCCTTCCCCCCATAGCCTTTTTGTATGCCCCAGCTCAGCCTGAGGGAGGGACTGAACTCTTGGACAACTGTAGGCTTCCAGTAGTCGGGGTTAGGTTATGACTCCAGAGGGCCTGGCCTTTCCCTGGTTCTGGGTTTCTTATGGTCATTTGCCAGGATGTGACTGAGTCATGGGGTGGGGTGGGGGGCACAGCGTCTGGCTCAGAAGTCAGCAGAAAAGAAATACAGACCTTGAAGCCGTTTGCGTAGCTGTGGCCAGCCTGCTGACCTCCCTGTCTCCTGTATGGCCTCGCTCCCCTCTGGGGCTTCTTCACTAGATCTGCTTCTCCCTCGAGTTTAAGTGACACACTTCTTAGATGTCACAGTGTCCCTAATTTACCTGTCAGCCAAGCTTATGGCCCAGAGGCCTGGCAAACCCTCCCCATCACAGTGAATACGTAGGGGGCTTTGGCGGGGTCCAGGCCTTCTTGAATGGGGTGAGAGTGCATGAGAGCTCGCCCCGACTGCGGTTGCTCATGCTCACCTCAGGGTGCATGAGCTGGAGGAGATGGTGAAGGACCAGGAGACCACAGCAGAGCAGGCATTGGAGGAGGAGGCCCGAAGACACCGTGAGGTCTACTGCAAGCTGGAGCGGGAGAAGAGCACCGAGCTGGAGCTGCTCAACACCAGGTAAGTAAGCGCCAGGCCTTCTGCCCACGGTGCCCCAGTGCCCCTCTGCCCTGGCAGCCCGTGGTAGTGCTGGCCCCAAGTGTTTCTAGCATTTGTACTTCACATTCCTTAAAGTTGCACAGGCTGGTTCTTCAGGAGGGAGGCAGGATGCATGTTCATAGTAACCTGGTCATTGAGCAGAGGAAGCTGCAGAGGCGGAGCAGAAGGCAGGGCTAGTATCTCTAGGCCTGGAGCGCCCCCTGCTGTCAGGTTCTCCCTTGCATTTGAACATGGGTAAACTGAGCCTGGGGCCTTGGGGAAGTTAGAAAACCAGGTCCCTGGGCTCTGCAGCCAGCTATGCCCTTCCTTGCTGGAACCCGAGCCAGGGGTAGGAGGAGCCCCACTGGCCCTGGTCACAGTGATTTTTCCTACTGTGTAGTCCCCCCTCTCTACTGCCTTCTCCCTGCCTGCCCCACAGCCGGTACACAGTGCACTGTGGTGAGGCTGTGACCTGTCCTGGTACTTCTTGGGCTTAGGCATTCAACCAGAAGGTTCTAAGCCCAGCCTGGGTGAGGGAAGGGCTTCTGGACAAGGGCTGGGCCCCCAGTGCAGTTTGGTGCAGAGCTCTCCTGTGCCTGAGACTCCCCATCCCTTCCCAAACAGCTTCCCAAGAGTTTCCCATGCTAAATTTGGACTGGTACTCTAGGACAGTGGTTCTTAACCTTCTACTGCTGTGACCATTACTACAGTTCATGTCGTAGTGACCCCAGCCATAACTCAAGAGAGGTGGCTGGGACCAGAGGGACAGAGGCGGGAAGACCGTGTGTGTCTGTGTGTGTGTGTCTCTGTGTGTCTCTGTGTGTGTGTCTGTGTGTGTGTGTGTGTCTGTGTGTGTGTCTGTGTGTGTGTCTGTGTGTCTGTGTGTGTGTGTGTGTGTCTGTGTGTGTCTGTGTGTGTCTGTGTGTGTGTGTGTATGTATGTATGTATGTATGTATGTGCATGTGTGTGTACAGGACCTGAAGAGGGAGCACAGAAAGGAGGTCAGGTTCTGAGAGTGGTCTAGCAGCTCCCTTCCCACGGCTCCATCTTGCTCTTCATGTGGAGACATGGATGGCACTTCCGGTCGTCGGCATATACGCCCCTCCTCAGCTCCATGCCACTTACCATGGAAGTCCAGACTCCTCTGTCCCTTGTCTGAAGGCCTCCTTAGGGTCCCCGGGGTCTCATTAAGGTCAAGAGAAACCTCTCCACAATGGGGCAGTTTCTGGAGTGGAAGTACTGCAAGAATCGTACGTGGTTCTGCGCAGTGCCAGGAGCCGTCTCACCTGCCTACCAAGTCACCTGAGTGCAGTCCCCCTCGGGCCACTGCAGGACAGCCGTCTGCAAATGCTCCAGTAGAGGCTATGCAGAGAGCTCTCAGGACTCCTGACAGGGCTGGGGGTGGAGCATAGAGAGCCAACATGACCATAGCCTTCAAACAGCACGTGTTAACAGAAGCCCGGACATACGAGAACTGCTCCTCCGCCAAGAGGAAACTCCCTTCCTCATTGTTTCACAAAGGGTTCTTGGAGTGTGTACATGTGTGTTCACATGTATGCATGTGTGTGGAGGCCAGATTTCATAAATTTTTAGATTTGGAAATACATATTCATGATACCTATTTTGGAGATAGGACCCTACCTAAACAGGAAATTACTTTCTATTTTTATTTTTGTTTTTTGAGACAGGATTTCACTCTATAGCCCTGGCTGCTCTGGAACTTGCTCTATAGACCACACTGGTCTTGAACTCACAGAGATCCACCTGTCTCTGCCTCCAGAGTGCTGGGATTAAAGGCGTGCGCCACCTCCTCTCCCTCGCCCCAGCTCCTTCGCTTCTAAAACAGCTTATAGGGCTGGGGAGATGGCTCAGTGGGTAAAGTGCTTGCAACAGAAGACTTGAGATTCCCAGAGCCCACATAAGACTAGACACAGAAGTGTGCATTTTAATCCCAGGGTTCTGCCGCAGAGGTAGGAGGACCCCTCCAAAAGTTGGATAAAAGATCCTGTCTAACCTCCACATTTGCAGTGTGGCACATGTACACCCACATACAGGACCATGCACACACTCTGTACACACACAAAATTAAAGAGTAGCTTATAGCCTAAAAGTAATTACATATTATTTATACACATTCTCTCTCTCTCTCTCTCTCTCTCTCTCTCTCTCTCTCTCTCTCTCTCTCTCTCTCTCTCTCTCTCTCTCTCTCTGTGTGTGTGTGTCTCCTCTCTTATCCCCTTCTCTCTCTCTTTCTGTTTCTCTGGGAAAGCCTTATCCGGTAACTCTGCTGTCTGGAACTTGCTATGTAGTCCAAGCTGTTCTCCAACTCAGCAGAGATCCCCCTGCCTCTGCATCCTGAACGCTAAGACATGAACTATCACTCTTGGCTAATAATTTTGCACATGAAACAGCATCATGTCATTGCTCAAAAAGTTTTGGATTTTGGATTTTTGGATCATGGATGCTGGACCTGAATTATACGTGAGACATTTATTTTTGTCTCAGTCTTTCTCTCAGTTGGTAGTTTCTTTCAGAAGCAGAGACTGGATACCTTCTCTATAAGATCATTTCCACTATAGATCCTCAGATTTGTCATTTTTCTTTCCCAGGGTGCAACAGTTAGAAGAAGAAAATACTGATCTGAGAACAACAGTGACTCGACTTAAGTCACAGACAGAGAAACTGGACGAGGTAAGCAGCGGGTCGCAGCGTGATGTTGAGTCCATCGAGAGGTGATGGCCTTTGATCGTAGTTTCTAGCATACTAAAGTATTTCCCTACAGAGAGAAAGAAGAGTATGGTGGTACATACCTGTCACCTGTCAATTGTAGTGCTCAGGCAGGCAGTAGAGGCAAGGGCATCAAGAATTCAGGGTCATCCTTTGCTGCATAATGAAATTTGAGGCTAACCTGGGGTACATGAGAGTTTTGTATTAAACAAAAGTAATTTTGTTTTGTTTTTTGAGATAGGGTTTTTCTGTGTAGCCTTAGATCCTGCCCTGGAACTCGCTCTGTAGACCAGGCTGGTCTTGAACTCACAGAAATCCGCCTGCCTCTGTCTCCCAAGTGCTGGGATTAAAGGTGTGCTCCACCACCACTCAGCATAAATTTTTAATTAATTAAAGAGGGAGGAAAAGTGAATGATGACTTTAATTTCTGAATTTACAAAATTTCAAGTTTTCTACAGTGAAAATAGAATCTGTATTATATTATAAATGCCTTATATTGTGTGTTTTTTTTTTTTGGAAGAGGGTGTTTGGGCTAACAGCCTCTTCTTGAGCTCTGCCTGACACCACTGAAGGACATCTGGGGCCTAGGGTGTTTCCTGCTATGTTTCTAGAATGTTCTCGGAGGGCACTCCCCAAGGTGGCTGCTCTGCCTGTCCATTTGCCACACCAAAGTCCATTAGGGCATGAGGGCCCTCTGGGAATGCTTGCCCTGACGGGGTCTGCCTGGCTCTAGGAACGGCAGCGCATGTCTGACCGTCTAGAGGACACCAGCCTGCGACTCAAGGATGAGATGGACCTTTATAAGCGCATGATGGACAAGCTGCGACAGAACCGCCTTGAGTTCCAGAAGGAGCGGGAGGCGACGCAGGAGGTGAGTCTTAGGCCGGGGCCCCTAGGGCGTCCCTCAGTGTCATTGCTGCTGTCAACAGGCTCCTCTCCTCACAGCTCATCGAGGACTTGCGGAGGGAGCTGGAGCACCTGCAGATGTACAAGCTGGACTGTGAGCGGCCAGGTAGGGGCCGCAGCTCGTCCGGCCTTGGTGAGTTCAACGCCAGAGCCCGAGAGGTGGAACTTGAACATGAGGTCAAGCGTCTGAAGCAGGTAGGCCCTGAAGCCACCATCCTTAGCTTTGAAGAGGCTGCTGGGTCAGCCGTGCGGGCCTCTGTTTAGAAGTTAGAGGGAGGGAGCCATGAGCAGCAGCCCACCTGCTGCCTCTCCCGTCTGCTCTTCTCAGTAGCCTGATTGCCGGGTTCCGTCATCCCATCCCACACTCTGGCAAGTGGCTTGCCTCTAGTTACAGCCAGTGTCTCTTAGGTGTTCTGGGTGTTGGGATGAGGAGACCATCCCTAAGCTGCAGGTGCAGGCTTGGTTGAGTTGGGGCCTCTGGCAAATAGGGCCTAAGTCTTGGGATTCTGCTTTTCATAGTGTCCCATCACTGTTGTTTGCAGCCTGTGTTAAGCACGGGGTCAGGAAGGGGCAATGGCCCATTCACCCAGGCAGAAGTCCTAGTGGCCATCTCCTGAAGTACAGCTAGCCCATCACCCACCCAGGAGGGGCTCCCAGGTCCCTGGGGTGAGCTATAGGCAAGAAAGAATTGGAGGGGGCACCTCTGTCTGCTGCCTTCAGTGTCACCTTCCTTCGGGAGCAAGCATGTCCTGAAACAGCTCCCTCTAAGCAGGTTCCAGATCCTGGCTATAGGAGGAGCCAGGAAAACCGGCCCTCCTTTCTACCCAGAGAATTGAGACTAGCACCTCCCTCAGCCAAGTGCAGGCAGGCCTGCAGGCTGAGCTGCTGGTGGGCACTGCTCCCCTCAGAACCCAAGCAGGGAAAGACTTCTGTCTTCCTGGCTCTGCCAAGCAGTGCTGCAGTTCCCCTTCTGAGGACTGTGGCATGCCACACCTCTGGGCCAGGCCTCAGTTCTCTGCCCTCTGTGACCCCGCAGAGGCCATGTCACCTGCAGGTCTCCTGGCCCAGCAAGGGTACGTTGATGGGGAGGATGCTGGTGGTCTGAGGACACGGATAGGGAGAAGTGGGTTCCAGAGGGTGGGCTCCTGGTGCCTCCCAGAGCTCAGGATCCTTTCGTTCCCTTGCCACAGGAGAATCACAAGCTGCGGGATCAGAATGATGACCTGAATGGGCAGATCCTGAGCCTCAGCCTCTATGAGGCAAAGAACCTTTTTGCCACCCAGACCAAAGCCCAGTCCCTGGCTGCAGAAATCGACACGGCATCCCGAGATGAGGTAACCTTGTCCCTTCACTCCCTTGGACTCTCACATTGGTGACTGATCTCCATTTTGTGGGTCCTGTTCCAGCCCCCACCTGCTAGGACCCTGAAACCCAGGCTACACAGGATCCCAAAGAGAGGCCAAGGCCTGGCCCTGATAGTCCTCTACTTACTGCTGTCACAGTATCGGCAGAGCTGAGCTGGAGGAAGAAGAGGGGAGGAGCTTAGCCCTCTGTCCCTCCAGAGCTCTGGGGTCAGGTCAGAGTGGAGATCTCCTGGGACTTAACCCAGATGGTGCCCAGAATTTCTTAAACATCCACTTTTGCTCACCTGTTTATTTGGGTTCTTAGCTTGCAGCTTCATAAACACATCCCTGTTACACGTAGAAATAACCACATGGCTGGCAGCGGGGAAGGAGCCTGGCCCCCCAGCACCATAGGCCATCTTTTCTACCTCGAATACAAAAACACTCAGCTGCATTTGAATGTGAAACTGAGGTCCCATGTACATGTATCTTGCCTTCCCCTGAGACTCAGAGCTAAGGGTCAGCCTCTGGCCTCAAGGAGATCTAGGACAGCAGGTAACTCTGTAGTGTTGGAGCAGCAGTTCGGCTGCACCTAAATGCCATGGTGAGAGCCCCTGAATGACGCAGGCCTGGAGTGAGGAGAGGCTGGCAACCCCAAGCATCTTCTGGGCCCAGGGACTATACACATTAGCCCTGATATGAGTACATCTGGCCAGTGTTCAATGCTGTAGCCCCTCCCCAGGCCAATGAAGTTGCCTTCAGGCTGACCTGGGGCCCCTCTGTCATTGGTCGCTGGCCCACGGTAAGCCCAGCCTCTGACCCACCTTTCTCATTCCCCTCAGCTAATGGAAGCCCTGAAGGAGCAGGAGGAGATCAACTTCCGACTGAGACAGTACATGGACAAGATTATCCTGGCTATACTGGACCACAACCCTTCCATCCTGGAGATCAAACACTGAGCCAGGGCTGGCTGCAGAGCGGCCATTGGACCTGGGACCTAGGGGAAGGCCTGCCTGAGGATAAAGACGCAGGCAGGACCCCACACTCACTCTGTAAATGCACCTCTGACCACCCTGTATGTGTGTGCTGGCGTATGTGCGGGAGACTGCACACACAGGCAAGGGGTGAGCTTGGGGCCATGGCTGTGGGTGACAACCCATGATGAGCTGTGTGTGCACTTTGCAGCCCCTTTGTGAGGGGCTGAGGGGGACTGGATATGGGAGGGAGACTCTCAGGAGTTAACAGCAAGGACTGGAAGCTTGCATCTAGGATACTGATGAAACGATTCTACCTCTGGATAAGGGTTAGAAGAAGCTCTCAGGAGATGCGTGCTGCCCCCTGCACCCCCCCCCCCAGCGGGGACAAAACTGTTACATTCTCTGTTCTCCAGAATTTGGTGTCCTTGCCAGCCTTTCTGGCCACCATTCAAACCCAGGTTTTCTAAGCTCAAAGAGGAGGAAGGGGTGTTGGGGGGTATAGGGACCCCTGTAGATGGCCTCCTGGGTGCAGAAAAATGACGGCGGACTTGGGTTTCCGGAGCAGCTAGTGTGCTCTGTCCATGCCTCTGGGGTGAGTCCTTTGTAGTTTCCCATGCCCTTGCCAGCCTTGCTCTCCTACCTCCCCTTTCTGGTTTGGCTTCACTTTGGTTTGAGGACAAGAAATAGACACAGCATTTACTTGGGGTGGAGTGCCCAAGGCAGGTGTTAACACTGGGGCCAAAGGGAGTGGTTGCCTGGGAGACGTGCTCCCATGGCTCCATCCTATCGCGGGCGTGTACGTGCAGATGTGCCTTGGTGAGGGCAGGCCGGGGTAGGTAGCCACACCCCTTCCTACAGCTCTCAGGCACACCTGGATCTGGTCCCGTTAGGGCAGACAGTGCTGGTGGGAGGTCCAGTGGAGAACATCGTGGGGCGGGGGGGACCTTAGTCTTCCATTCTGTGAATACATGGTGGGGATTCCCCACCCCCCAGATTTTTAAAGAATGTGATGTCTTGTTCTAGGCATCCAGGCATAGATGCCGTACCTGGACTGCTGACAGTTTATCTCAGTTTTACATGGTTTGTGATTGGCTTCCTTACCCCAGCCCAGAGAAGCCTAGGTGGTCTTACCTCTTCCCCTTCTGTTTGCTTCCTTGAGCATATCTTGTGTAAAAAGGAAGGTTTGGGCATGTTGGGGAGGCTGGGGGGCAGTTGAGGGTGAAGAGACGACTTGGGGTATTTGCCCTGCTTGACAGAGACAGGGCTGTGACCACTCCACTCCTGCTTTCCAGGCTTTTCAGATCCGTTTTAATCATATGAACAGAGTTGTCTCGTGCCGTGTAGATGGTGGGCGGGTGGCCTTGTCCTGGGCTGCCTGGAGGAGCCACACTAGGAGGACAGGAAGGCTTGATCTTGAGATGCAGGTCTCTGTGGGCATTCCCTGGGGTCTAGGGAGATATAGAGAAAGGCTAGGTAGGTGTCTCCTGAGGATATGTCAGAAGGAAGGGAAGTAAACCATGACTTGAGGTTGGTCCAGGTGTCACCCTGGGAGGAGCATGGCAGAGGCCTGCTGAGTGTCGGTCCTAGCCTGTGGGAGCTGCCTCAGGGATGGGTGTTGGTATTTGAAATGGGCCTCCAGTTTCACTGGTGTGTAAGTGTCCAGAGAGGACCACAGAGGCCAGAGTCACGGTACAGCAGAAGAGGAAGGAATTTGTGCCAAGGCAACGAGCAGGGAAGGCTTTTGACCCACGTTGTTGGGCTGCAGGAATAGAGTCCCTGAGGAAATGACAAGTTTGGAGGCTCTGGGGCGCGGACCCTTGCTATAGCCTCTGGAAGAGTGACTTTTGGGGTGGGACTGGCTTCCATGCCTTCCATGCAACACACCAGCCTTCTGACTTCCTTCAGCCAGGATGCACTTAGAGAACTTTGTCAGCTTGACCTAAGATCACATTCGTTGCTTCTTGTGGTGATGACGGTAGGTTTTTGTCATCTCAGACAAGGTCTTACACTGTAGCTTTGGCTGCCCTGGAATTCAAGGAGACCCTCCTGACAGTGTCCTGTGAAGGGGTGTTGCTTTTGCCAAATTGGACAGCTCCCTTGGAGAAGGGTCAGCAGTAACTTGCCAAGATCCGAGTAGGTTGGGGACCAGGCAGGGGATGCACTTTTTATGTGATGCTAAGTCTTCCTTGCATTCCATTAGAAGCCAAGCAAAATGAACTAATGTCTTGCTGCATTTGTTTCCTTTTAGCTTTGAATTGGCTAGATTTTGCTTCAAACTGGTACTTTCTTTGAGATTATACGGAGGAAATTCCTTTTTAAAGTTTTATTTCTCACACACTAAAAACACAGAGCTCAAGAACCAAGCAGAACACTAGGACTGGAGATTGGGTTTGCCAGTTTGCCTGTGTGCTGGTGTCACCTGAGGAGATTCTGAAAAGAATCAGATGATGGCAGGCTTGGGGATGTAGCACAGTGGTCGAGTGCCTAGTGTGAGGGTTAGTCCGTGGCGGCACGAAAAGAAGTTGATGACAGGACCGCCTGTGAGTTTCTGTGTAACTGGTAGCATGGGTGGCCCAGCACCCATGCCTGCGTTGGTTTTCCCAGTGCTGTTAGTGCACAGCTCCAGGTGGCGGCTCCTGTCCAGAAGGTCTTTGGCTCATACAGAGAAACCATGTGAAATGTTTGCCTTTAACTGGGATGATGGAAGATGGATGGCTTTTGGTAATTGTGCCACTGAGTGGTCCTTGCCCCAGGAGAGAATCCAGCTGCTATGAGTAGCCTGGAAGTCTGTATCCCGTAGTGGTCTCCTACCTGGGACCCCTAGAGTCACAGGAAATATGTGCCAGCATATACTGGGTATCAGGCCATTATAAAGTGGGGACAGATAATCAGGTAAGAGCTGGGCCGTGACAGCAGCTGGGTGCAATGGTCACTTGCCTTTGTGGTTTTTGTCCATTTCCTGACTGCAGTGAGGCTTTCCCAGTTACTTCCCCGTCAGTGCCAAATCAGCACCCAGTTCACACTACGAGGACTGAGTTGTGATCCATACTGGTTCTGATGGTCCAGGGGGTGTCATTATACATTGGGCTCCAGCAGGGCATCTGGAGGCTCTACAAGGCCCGAGAAAGTGGGGAATGACTGTGAGGCACTGGCAAATGTATACCTGTCTGTAGACATGACTGATGGGACCTGGGGAAGGGTTAGGGTAGTCACCAGGTCAGCCCGACAGATGCCCAGTGATTCTGTAAGAGTCCAGGTGAAGCTCTTCCCCAATCTTTCCTCCTTACCCCAACCCCCACTGAAGCCCAAGGACTTGCCTCTGTGGTGGCTCCTCAGGTTGGCATCACTAATGTGATGCCTGAAGTTAGAGTGGCCGAGTCTTTAGAGGGCCTCCCTGTCCTGACTTCCATCTTGACTTGAATCAGCATGGGTGTGTCAGGGTAGCTGTGTCAGTTGGCATCTTTTAACTGCTTAGCTAAGAAGGGAGCCACTTCTAGAAGGCTTTGTCTCTGAAAACAGCAAGGTAACAGTTCTTGTCACCCTATTCACCACGAGCTGGGTATCTTTGATGTACTGTCCTTGTGGGTTCCTCTTCCCATTGTGACTGTAATGCAGGGATGTCTACCCCAGAGGTACCAGCGGGGGCAACATCCCAGGCCCCTGCTCCCACAGGCCTACGTTCTGTTGGCCCTGCCTGTTATTGAGACTGTCTGCTTTCCTGTTCTGCACAGCTGGATTTTGTCTGCATGGTTTGGGGTCCTTGTGCCTTTTTTCCCTTGTGGCCACCACACAGGATTCTCTGTTACCCACTGCCCCCTTTTGTACCCCCTTACCCGTTCCCCAGGCCTGTGTATACTCGTGTGTGCCAGCCATGTGTCCCCACCGAGGCCAGCTGGCAGACCCTTTACTCCTGCTGCCCCCGGTCAGGCCCGCTACCCCATAGGTCCCCCAGCCTGTGTTGACTTGGTAACTTTTGTACAGGATCTTTTGTTACAGTCTTAAGCATAGGGAACACTTAGTCCTTCTGTACCTGCAGCTGGTTTAGAAGCCCTGCATCCCAGACAAGGGTAGCCTTGTGCAGACCAACTTCTCCCACAAACCTCTTCTGTGTGGGTGTGGGTATTTATAGAAGGCAGATCGCCTTTAACCTGAGGCACTGGCTCCAGCAGTCTGCAAGGCTCCACGCGGGGCTCTTCTGGAGGAAGCCCCAGCCACGTGGTTTCCAGTGCTTTGCAATACATTTGAGTTTAGGGCCACTGCGTCTGGTGTCTCCCCCGTGTGTGCTGAAGGAAATCATTTGCTACTGTCCCTGCCTGCTATTATCACCTGTCCAGCCCTTCCTTGTCTGCTGGTGCTCAGACCAGAGTGCCGTTAATAACCAGACCGATGTCAGGACAGGGACGTGACAGCGAGTGCTAAGGACACAGCCTGCTGGCTCCCAACCTCAACTCTTCATGCTCTGGGCTGGGCCTTCTGGGGCCCAGGTGGAAGAAGCTACCGGCAATGGGTTCTGATTCTCCAGTGATTACATCTCGGGCTTTGCCCCGGTGCCAGTAATTGCCTTAGCTTTGGGGTTGGAAATTCCACTTTAGGCCCCAGGGAGGGGAGAGGGGTGAGTCCCAGGCCCTGAACTGTTTGCCTCCAGCCTGTTCTCTTCTGAAACAGGTTTTCAGCGTGGGCACCTTCCAAGGAACTGTAATGTACAGATCACAGTGTAAATAAACAGTTGGCTTTTTGTTCCTGACTTGTGTGAATGTCTGTAGGGGAGCCGGGAATTGAAAGGGGATGGAAGAGGTGGAGGGAGAGAGGCAGGCTTGTGTCCTGGCTTCAGGGTGACATTTCCTTTGAAAAGCAGTCTCTTTATGGTGTGCTACAACTGAGGTGGCTAGTGCTGCCCCCTAGAGGAAGGGTAGAGCAGGGTCTGGCTCCAGTCAGTCCTGGCCTGCTTTGCCTAGAGATGTGGCTCAGAAGCGCCCATTTTACCCCGTTCCAGCCTCAGACCTGTGGTTGAAAACTGTCCCCCTGCAGCAGTGTTCTTTCTCAGCGAGGGGTTCCTGGGTCATACTCCTCCCATGTCATCCATTTTGTACAGGCTCAGGTGCCCCTCTCAAACTGCCTCACAGGGCTAAGATGAATTCTGCTGTGCCTTGGATTACCATGGCAATTTAGGATTGTGTGCTCCAGGTCCCAATGTTTCTACCCTTTGTTCTGTATGTGTTCTGAAATTCCAATAAAAGAGCTCACTGGTCACCCAGGCCAGGATCTTGGCCCATATATCCTCCCCATGCAGACCCTGTGTTGGGTGCTCTAAGGTGGACAGACAGTTCTGCACTGGACAGGTTTACCTGACTCCTCGCACCGAAGAGTCACTGTCAAGTACAGACTTGGAGGTTCTGCACATATTGTCTCCTCAGTGTGGTCTTACTACCTGGGGCCTCCAGACAGACAGATGCAGGATAACCCAATGAAGTTAATGTGAATGAATTTGATCTTGGATAATCCAGTGAGCCTATGGGAACCCACATGTCTGCATGGACCCAAATAAGGTCATGTTCAGTTTGCAGGTACATTGTCTCTGAAGCTGCCCCACTGAAGAAGTCATCGACTCTACTACAGTGCTGGAGGCGGGGAAGCTCAGAGATGGTGATGGCCCAACCTTGGCTAACTAAGTCTTCCCATGGGGCTGGTCTAGCAGCCTGATTCTGGTCCCTGGAGCATGAGGAGTTTGCTGCCCCTGGACCTCCACTCAGGTGGAAACAGCATCTTGACTTCTGGACAGAAAATAACTTCAGGATATGTCCATATGAAACATCTGGGTTTATTAAGTAGAGATGGCAATCAGGTATGTTTGAGACAGCCTGGACATTGAGAGAATGAGTCTGAGGTGGCCCTCAAGGATCTGAACTGTAGTTATATAAGTGATTTTGTGGCTTTTGAAGTTACAGTGCTCAAAGAGCATAACTTAACAAAGTAGGTTCAGTGCTTAAATGTAGGTGGGCATGGTGGCATATCTTTAATCTTAGCAATTGGGAGGCAGAGGCAGGTGGATGTCTTATGAGTTCACAGACAGTGTGGTCTACAAACTAACACAATTCTTGTTTTGAGACAAGGTCTCGCTGTGTCTCTAGCTGTGTATCTCATAAGTAGACCAGTTTGACCCCAAACTCAACCTGCTGGCCTCTGACTTGATGGTGCTGGGATTTAAGCTATGTGCCGCTACATCCAGCTTCAAACAAAAAAGTTGTTTCAAAAAATAAAAATATACAAGCTGCTTTACTGATTTCTCATCTTCAGAACTCTCTGTTTGCAAATGACAGTGCAGTGGTTTATGGGGCACACTGCTCTGGTTTAAGGAGAGGGGATGCTAATGAACTTCACAGACCACACAGGCAAGCCGGGAGACCCATCCGAGACCGTCTCAGAGAAGGGACTTCTCAGCCAATCTCATTTGTCAGTTGGGTTGGTTTTTCATGCAGACAATAAGAAATACAAACTAGATTTGGGTTAAGGGAACCCTTCCCCTTTCATGTTCCCTTATTTTTCCATCTTTCTGTTCTGTCTCAAGTCCTGCTTGCTTGTTAACCCTTTCCAGACCATGGCTTGGAAGGCTCCAGTGTTGTTCATACCACCCTTTCCTGGGTTCCAGGACCCCCAGCAGATCCAATCCTGCAGGTCTTCAAGTCCCTTATATGAAATGGTGGAGTACTACATGTAATGTAACATGTCCTCCCATACAGTTTAAAGCCTCTCTGGATTACTTTCCTTTACAGCTTTTCTTAACATTTAGGGGAGGGTATGCCATGGTGAGTGTATAGGAGTCAGATAAGAACATGTTTAAGTTGGATCCTTCCATGTGGGTCCTGGTAATCAAACTCAGATTGCTGGGCTTGGTGGCAAGTGCCTCTACCAGTTTGAGATTTCTCATTGCTCCTAGGTTACTTTTTAAAGATTTATTTATGTGTATGAATGTTTGGCCTGTATGTATGTATGTATGTATGTATGTGCACCTTATTTGTGTCTGTGTATGGTTGTGAGCCACCAAGTAGGTGCTGGGAACTAAACCTGGGTCCTCTGCAAGAACAGCAAGTACTCTTTAATAGCTCAGAGTATTTTTAATAACACAAAGTAAATACTGTATAAATGATGTCGTTTAGGGGATAATGACAAGAGCCTATACATGTGCTATACAGATGTAGAGGTTTTGTTTTGTTGAGACAGGGTCTCACTGCATAGCCCTGGCTGGCCTGGAGCTCGCTATGTCAACCACCTTGCTCTCAGCTTGCAAAGATACTTCTTCTTCTTCTGGGATCACAGACCGCACCTGGTCCCAGATAAAGGTGATATATATGTGTGTGTGTCTGTATGTATGCATGTTATTAGGCTGGAGAGATGGTTCAGCAGTTACGAGCACTGGCTGCTCTTAGAGGACCCAGGTTCAATTCCCAGCACACATATCAGGCAGCTCACAGGAGAGCAAGTGTCTCTGGCATGCACATATCCACACACATATACATGTAATTAAAAATAAAATCTTAAAATATATTATGTGTATGTCTTCCTGAGTGTTAAATCCCCTGGAACAAATGGTTGTGAGCCATCATATGAGGGCTGGGAACTGAATTCAGGTCCTCTCCAAGAGCAGTAAGTGCTCTTAACCACTGAGCCATCCTCCTCCCACGCCCAGATTTTTTTTTTGTAAATATTTTTAGGTCAACAGAAGGCTCATTGGGTGAAGCACTTGCCACACAAGCCTGACGACCTGAGTTCCATCGCTGAAACCCACATCGCCATGGAAAGAGAGAACAGATTGAGCAGTCGTTCTAGCTTTACACATGTGCTGTTGCACAACACCCCATAATACGTTTTTAAAGTTTTAAAAGGAGATTTATGTGTGTGGCTGTTTTGCCTGTGTGTATGTATGTGTACCATGTGTGTGCCAGGAGCCTGCAGGGCCAGAAGTGGGTGTTGGGTCCCCTGAAATCAGAGTTATGGGTGCTCGGGAGTCACCATATGGGTGCTGAGTCAGACCCAGGTCCTCTGGAAAAGCAGCCAGTGCCCTTGACCACAGGGCCATCTCTCCAGCCCTGTGGTAGAGATACATTTTTTCAGTCCATGGTTCCTTTATCTACAACACAGAACTCCCAGAAGCTAGGCACATAGAGAGGGACTCCCTGTGGCCGGGTGGCGTTGAGGTGCTGTCTCACTACCAGATGAGGACACCGAACCACTCCAGGGACCCAGCTTGCCACAGTTGCCCAGAATTCAAGCTCTGATAAGGCAACCATTCAGAGCAGGACTTGACTTGTTCAAGTGAGGGGAGGGACTGCTGTCCTGGAGAGGCCTCAAGAAGGCAGAGCTCGTGGAGCCCTGAAGCTGGAGCACCTCTCCCTAACAGGGCTGAACAGAGGGTGTGGCAGGAGGGGCAGGCACCTGGGAGCAAGAGTTGGGAGGTAGCAAAAATGCACCTGGGCTCAGTCAGTAAGAACAGGACAGGTCTGGGAAGGATGGTGGGCCCACTGCAACCTGGCCTAGCTGCCCAGATGGCCTGAGGGAGTCAGCAATTGACCAAGTTTCCTGGGTAAACTGAGCCTAGGCCCAGTAACTCTGGAGCCAGCATTTGGTCTGGGCTGACAGTTACCAGGGGATTGGAGTGGCGTGTGGCAACTGCCCCTCACACTTTCCACCCTGATCAGCCCTGGTTCTTGTTCCGAGTTCCAGGTTTATGAGCTAACTTTGGTGTCTCAGATTTTGACTTAGGAACTATGACACTGCAAGTGTGATTGTGTGTGTGTGTGTGTGTGTGTGTGTGTGTGTGTTTGCTTTTTTTTTTTAAGCCAGGCATGACTTTAATCCCAGCATCTGGAGGCACAAGCAGGTCAATCTCTATGAGTTCAAGGCCAACCTGGTCTGCAACATTGAGTGTGAGGCCAACTAAAGCTACAAAGAGAGTCCTTGTCTTAACCCCCTCCCAATAAATAATACAAATTTTAAATATTGGCACAGGCAGACATCTGCCACATTGCATATAAATGGAGGTCAGCAACCTTGGGTCACTATTGGTTCTCATCTTCTACCATGGTTGAGATGTTCCCTTGTTAACTCCTGCAAACCCCATGTCCACAAAGCTTCCAGGTTATCCTGTTTCTGCCTCCCATCTCGCTGTAGCAGTGCTGGAATTGCAAACTCTACTCAGTGTGCTTTACAGGGTTTCTTGGGATGTGAACTCAGGTCCTAAAACTAGCATAGCACTTGCTCTACCCACTGAGCTATCACCTCAGCTCAGTATTTGAGGTTTTGATAGACCTAACACTCGAGAGTGTAACAACACTAACTCTGAGCCCACTTACATAGTACAGGCTGTAGGGTGACACTGTGCCTTGGAGAATAAGATGACCCAAAGGAGAGCTGTCCGGCCAGTCCACACACACAGGGAAAGTATTCATCTATTTAGAGCTTGAAACAGTGGGCTCCATGACAGCGGGTGCATGCTCCTCAGAAGATGTGCCTTTCCCTAAAGGAACCTACCTGAGCAGAACTGGTCCCTGATGTCAACCAGGCTAAGTTCTTACTCTCCAGAAGCCTCATGGGCAGTCCTGTCTGCCACTGCAAGGGCACATTCAGAGAAAGACTCCCATAGCCTGTAGCAGCTATGGGTGATACTCATAGAGGATTCTGCCTTCTCTGGGTCTCTGGAGGAGGTCCAATTGATTCCTCTCTTGATTCGGATTCTCCTCGGAGCCCTTC